GTTGGTGATCTCTTGGACAAATCACCGAAGGTGCCAAGATAGGTTCATCACGAGCAGGAAGGAACAAGGGAAAACAGGAGGTTTTCCCCGTGGACCGACCCGTGACGAGATCCTATTCCCGGGCCCTCAACACCAACCCCAATGGGGCTTGTGTACATAGCAACCACCTTCCCATTTTCATCTCTGAATACACCTCCAACTCCTGATGGTCCTGGATTCTCTTCACTACTATCATCAAAGTTTAATTTTATAAAACCTGGAATTAGTGGTGACCACTGAGGGCTCACAGCTGAAAGAGTTGGATCAGAATTTGCTACCTCCTTCCAGCTATTAAGCAGCATCCCTGTGGAGATATTAGCAAACAACTCCAATGGTTTTACCCATTGTACGACCCTAACTGTTGTAATTTCAATGATATCTTCTTTCTTCCTTTCCTTATCAGAGAATATCCTTAAATTCCTTTCCTCCCATAGAGTCCAACATATGGCAGCTCTTAAGCATCTCCACAAGATTTCCCCCTCTTTTTTGGCCACCTGAAGAATGAAGTAGCAAACAACCCTTGTATACTTGGAGGACGGATCCACCTATAACCAAATAAAGCCATAAACCACTCCCAAATAACAGAACCAAACGGGCAAGCGATTAATAAGTGGTAGGGACTTTCATCATTAGCCTTACACAGTATGCACCAATTTGGGGACAAGCACCAATTAGGCCTTTTCCTTTGGAGTAAGTCACAGGTATTACAACTTTCCAAGAAGAATTCCCAACAAAAAGCTCCAACCCTTGGAGGGATTGGTTTACCCCATACTTCTTTTACTAGAAAAGTTTGGGCAATGGAACTAGCAGGTTGCACCAAAGGCTTAAAGAAAGATGCACAAGAAAAGACACCGAAAGGAGATAAGGTCCAAATTCTGCTGTCCCGTTTTGAAAGATCTAAAACCACCCCCTTTAAAACCTGAATTAACCCCAAAACATTTTCAAGTTCTGAATCCCTATTCCCTAGACCCAAATCTCAATCAAAACCAAAGTTGGACTCAGAAGGGACCGAGAAGTTAGACACAGTTTTCCCTTTATATTAGGAGAGAGAAAACAAAAGGGAATTGGTCTTCTGAAGGCATATCACCCACCCAAAGATTTTCCTAGAACTTCACCTAGTTTCCAGAACAAAGATCATACTTGATGTGCTGCAGAAAAGAGGGAAGAATGGTATTTATGGATCGCCAAGGAGAGGTACTAGTAGTCCTTGCCAAGACCCTAGAGTCCCAACCACCATCTGCCTGCTCATGAATGCTCAGCATTACCTTTCCCCACAATTTGTCTCTTTCTCTTGCTAGCTTCCACAACCACTTTTCCTAGAAAGCTTCATTTCTCTTCCAAATGTTGCCTAATCCCAAGCCTCCATCAGCCATACTCGTAGACACTATTTCCCACTTCACCCTATGGACTTTCCTGTCTTCCCTTGGTTCCCACAAGAAATCTCTCATCAAAATTTCCAACACTTTGCTTACTTTATTTAGAATCCTGAAAATAGAAAGATAGTAAACTGGCAAGCTAGACAATGTGGCCTTAATAGAAGTGATTCTACCACCCAGAGATAGGTAGTTCTTCTTCCAAAAGGCCAACCTTATTGTGAATCTATCAATTACTGGGCTCCAAAAGCTATCCTTCCTTGGATTATCCCCTAAGGGCATCCCCAAATACTACAAAGGCCATTGTGATACCATACACCCCAATAATTCAGCCCTCTCCATCATTGCGCTCTCCTCCATATTAATCCCCACCACACAGCTCTTATCAAAATTCACCTTCATGTTTGACATTTTCTCAAAGGTTTGAACTACCAACTTCAAATTTCTCATCCATCTGATATCCTCCCCTTCACAGAAAAATTGTGTCATCAACAAATTGTAGGTGAGTGATAGGTATTTTATCTTGCCCAACCCTCCACCCCTTCATTAGGTTCCTCGAATCTGCCCTCTCCATTAACTTCCCTAACACATCTGTAATCAAGATATAAAGGGAAGGAGAAAGGGGATCCCCTTGTCTGATTCCTCTAATGGTTTGAAAGCGATCTACTACAGCTCCATTTACCAAAATCGAGTAATGAACTAATGACATGTCTCCATACAACCCATGATCCATTTGCACCGTTTCTTCCCAAACCCAAAGTAATCCATCACTTGCATTAGAAAAGACCAATCCACCATATCATAAACATTCTCCAAGTCCAGTTTGCACACAATTATTTCTTCTTTGTTCTCTTTAAATCTTCCACACATTCATTAGCAATTAAGATTTGATCCATAATCTGCCTATTTCCCACAAAAGCCCCTTGGTTTTGTGAAATTATGCTTGGAAGCACCTCTTTAATTCTTCGAGACAAGACCTTAGCAATGTTTTTATACAATCTATTCACCAAACTGATAGGTCTAAAATCTCTTGGATGACTTGCTCCAACTTTCTTTGGGACTAAAGTGATAAAAGTTGAATTTAACCCTGGATTTATTACCCCCTTTTAAAAAATTCATGAAAAACTTTTAGGATATTTGGTTTTAGCATCTCCCAACAATCCTAGTAAAAGGCCATTGTGAAACCATCCGGCCCTAGAGCTTTAGATCTGTACATTACAAAGATTGCTTCTCTTATTTCCTCCACCTCAAAGCTTCTTTCAAGCCATATCTTAGCATTTTCAGAGAGTTTGGGCCAGTCTAGTCCTTCCAACCAAATCCTTTGACTTAATGGTCTTCTATAGATTGACTTAAAATGCTCCGACCCAAGTAATCTTAGCTTGGTGTGTAAGTGTCACTCCATCCACCTCCAGTTTGGAAATAAGATTCTTTCTTTTCTTGCCATTGGCCATTGCATAAAAGAATTTGGTGTTTCTATCTCCCTCTTTCACCCACTTGTGCCTAAACTTCTGTTTCCAACTAACTTCTTTATACAAAATGTCCTCAAGTTGTTTCCTAAGTTCCCATCTCACTTGCTTATCCCTCTCCTCAAAAGAGCCCCCCTTTCCTTGGCATCCAACTCCTCAATTTTACCAATCACTTCTTGCTTTCTTTCCTCAATTCTGCCAAAATGAAGGGTATTCCATTCTTTAATCTTTGCTTTTAACTGCTTCAACTTCCAATGGAATTTCATAAACTCCTCAATTTTACCAATCACTTCTTGCTTTCTTTCCTCAATTCTGCCAAAATGAAGGGTATTCCATTCTTTAATCTTTGCTTTTAACTGCTTCAACTTCCAATGGAATTTCATACCCTCCCAATTGGCCCTTGAATCACTTCTATTCCACCAAGTCTTAACCATCTCAATAAAGCTAGTGTGAGCCAGCCACATATTCTCAAATCTGAACGGTGTGGGACCTCTATTGCCAGTCTCCTCTTTCATTAAAGTGATAAGTCAGTGATCTGATGTTACCCTAGGCAATGTTCCTCCCAATCTGTTGTGAATAAAAATCTATCCAACTTTGAGCAGATCGGATTTGCTTGTAAATTAGACCAGGTGAAGTTGCCATTAAGTAGAGGAACCTCCTTCAACTCAAAATTATTAATGTGTTGTTTCCTCTTCTCACACTGGTGGACTCCTCTATGAATCTAGTGACATTAAGCAGCACGGGCCCTCCCAAAGTCCTCTAATATCCTCCAACTCCTTCCACAAACCACTTCTCTCCCTATACCCAGTTGGATTTCATTAATTAGAGACATGTTTCCTATATTTGGGTAACTTACATTTCCTTAGACACCAACATCCTAACATTCTAAATCTCACCCTCATGTGTAACATATAGCTCAATACCTCCACCACTCAAAAAACAAGATGGTGAAATGGGATCACCTTGCCTGATACCATGAAATGCTTGGAAGAACTCCAAAGAAGATCCATTCATGATTCACCAATATAGAAAATTAAACTTTTGGTTGTAAGTTCTCTTCCTAAATTAATAAAAGAATTTTTACGTTGCTGATAAAAAAAAATAAACTTTTGATATACAGGAGAATATCCATTCTTTCCACTTCTCAAACCTTGTAATCTGGAAGACTTCCTCCAAAAATCCACATTTCACATGGTAATACAACATCTCCAAATCAATTTTGGAAATTAACCCCAGAACCCCACTTTTGAGCCTAGCATGAACAAATTCACTTTTAATTTACACCCCATATAGGATTTGCCTTCATTCCATATAAGCATCTGTGTAGGACCAACCACCTAAACTACCACCTTTTCTAGTCTTTTAGCTAACACTTTCACTACTAACTTGTAGGGACTATAAATCAAACTAGTTAGGCAGAAGTCCTTCAACTCAATTGCACCATTCTTTTTAGGGTCCAATGTAAGGAACATATCATTTGTAGCTTTGTCCAAGTATTGATTCTCCTGAAAACTATTACATGTTCTGGACTATAGCTTTTAACAATATTCTAATGCATCTTATAAAATGTCATGTTAAATCCATCTTAACCGGGTGCTTTGTTGCCATTCATCAACTTTAAGGCCTCTTCGTTTTTCTTTTCTGTGCTGAAATTCCTTTTTCAATGCATTCACTCACCATTAATTCATTATGCAGCAATTTCAGAGAAATATTTCCAATAGCTAATGATCTTTTTTTTTTCTATATATAGATTCATATAAAAACTTCTAATGGCCTGAGTTATGTCAGCTTGGCCTTCCAACCAGTTTTCATGCACCTTTATTCTATTAATGCTATTACTTTTCCTCTTAACTTTTGCATATGCATGAAAGAAAGCCGTATGTTTATAACCGACCTTTCCCTTGATTTCTGCTGTCAACTGATGCTGATTTTTATCCTAAACAGGCTTGGGGAATTAGAGTTGTAATTTGGAATGCTTTTGGTGACTGTATTGCAACTCAAACTGTTTCAGTAGAATTTGGGTCAATGGAGGTAAGAGTAATTGTGTGCATTACAGGCTATCTCTAGGCTGAGTACTTACATTGAGACATGATGAAGGTTGACATGGACAAAGTGGTGGTGGTTCATATTTTTTTAGCAACATTGTGAAACTTGTGGTTGAATACCTTTCTTTCCTTTAGGGCCTTGAAGCTAATTTTGTTAATTTGTTAAGTATTTTAATCAGATTTACCAACAAAAACTAGTGAGATGGTTCATGTTTTGTTTTAAGATTTTTACAGATAGCTTGGGACGCTAAAAGAAATCCATTAATAGCAAATACAAACAGAAACAAACCAAAAAGCATAACAAAGGCGCATGGGTTTGACTGGTTGGCAGGATATATATATATTCTGGGTGGGGGAGGGGGTGGCTACTGTGACCCCTGGATCTGAAAACCCACGAATACAGCACTATGGGCTGCATTTCCCAGCCTAGCAGTAAAATGCAACAATGCCAACAACTAGTTAATATTTTTCAATAAATGCAGAATATCTTTAGAAATAAAGAGCACATACTTTGGTCCATCTTCACTACTCTTGATTGGAGTCATCACCAGGTCCTTAACTTTCCACAACTATATTCTGAGTGTGGAGTTGCAAAGTAGAACTGTTCCATCTCTTGTTGCTAATGCCTAGACCAGTTGTGGAGATTATGCAACATGCTGGCCAAACTATGAGCAAAAAAATTCACCTTAGCATGATCTCATAAAGCCACTGTCCATGTTCACTACAGCAGCACCCAAAAAGACCTTGTGACACCAAGCTAGCTGTCTTTCCAAGATTTTGCAATTCTGGCTGCACAATTTTCCTCACCTCCAGATAGTTGTTGCAAAAATCAGAGATAATTTTACGAGGTTTAGGTAGATTCTGATTAAAGATTATACCATTTCTAGCTTTCCAATTTCCATATATGACACAGTTCACAATTTCAGTTGGAACAATGAGGATGTCCAGCTTGATCTTTTTGTCTCTGACCTCCTCATCCAGCCTTGATTTAACCCAAGTGTTTTGCCTGGTCCAGGAGGACTTCCAAACTAAACACACCTTTAATAATTGCCATTACTTGCATGTGCAATGTGTATGGGAAATGATTTTTGGTTCTTAATTATAAATTGGGCAAGAGGATTGTTAATCGTCTTCCTTCTGAATAACTTAGATCTCATTGTTAATGCATCATGTCGATCTGTATACAAAGGAAACTAGGAAACTTTTTTGTTTGGGGAAATAGGTAGCTTCCAGATTGTTCTCCAATGCACCTTAGTAAAAGTAGATTATATAGAACTTCTCAAGTTTTGATCTTCCCCATCCTCCTCAGCAATGTTGTAAGCTTATCTGACTGAATTACCTTTTGAATCTGGGTACCAACAAAGATTGATGGGTCATGGGTACCTCAAAAGCTTTATCTTGAGGATCTCCTTTCTGAAAGCTGGTAGGATAAGTTCATCAATAACTTCTATCTTTCATTCCAGTTTCATTTCCTGTTGTCTGAGCCAATTAATTGTTCCACTTTCTCTGGAGCATTTGGACTCAGTTTTGGTCCAATGACATTTTCATCCCCAATAGAAGGAATTCATGGATAACTCCAGATACTACTGTTTTCTCCTGTATCAACCTACCAGCATGCCCCCCTTAGAACAATTTTTTTTTTATACTAAAGACAAAATTTCGTTGAAAGAAGAAGGTACAAGGAAGGTGATAAGAAATCACCTGAAAGGAGAATAAGCATAAAAAGCATACAAAACACCCCTCACTTACAGGCTCTCTAATCCTCAAACATTCGGGACAAGAAGAGCAAAAAAAAAAGAAAGAAAAAAACCTCAACGTCCTAATCAACCAACTCCCCCCCCCATTCCCATTATCCCAAATAGAAATTCACACTGCCAACAGTTCACAGTAGTATCCAATTTATCAAAAACTAAATCACACTACCAACTCCAGCATGTTTGAAATTTACTCTTCCACGACATCATCAGGCTCAATAAATGAAAAATCAACAACAGCTTGATCCATTTTCTTGAGCTCCAAGAAGGCATTTGCAAAATCTTCACCTCTCAAGAAAAAAGTTCCAAGGTTTTAGTTACTTGATCTTCCTTTTCATTTACTTTTTCCACTAATCATCTTGTCTACCTGTCTAGCTCAGTTAGAAATCATCACCTCAACATCTTCCTCTCGCATATCGACCTCTTCCTCATTGTCTTTAATGTCTCTCCTGATTCAACATTCTCCTTGGATTCATCTACATAAACTTCTGAACTCACACCCTTTGACTCCCTATCCAATTGATGCTGTACCTGTTCAGAATTCAAGAATTTTTCTGTAGCCTTACAAAATTTGTTATTCTTTTTCATGCATCATTTTCTCATGTATCTTCTTGTACTTATTTACCCCCTCCCCCCCTCCTAAAAAAACACTTTTATTTATTACACAGGCCTGCCCCATAAAGACCATCTTCCAGGCGAGAGAGATTTTGGTTACATGAATTAAATGATAATTCTTCAATCCTGTAGGTTTTCTTGAAAAAATACTCCAACAACCACAAGACTCAGATCTTTCTACCAAGATCCTTACCCAATTTTCCATCAATTACTAAAACATTATTTTATGCGTCACACCATATTTTAATCTTATGCAGGAAAGTGTTTTTTACTTATTTTACTATATGTTTCTTTCTTGAGGGTTCTCCACCATTCTTTGGGTGATGACAGTTGTACTCAAGTTATTCTAATCAATGAAAGTTACTGTTTCTTATAAAAAAGAAGAAAAATGAAAAAAAAAAATCAGAAACAAGAAGATAAAAGGTCTAATGCATGTAATCATCTTTCACCTCAGACTGCTCAACTCTCTTGCTTGTGATACTGAAACTATACAGAACTTGTCTGAATTTGCATGTGTTAACTGGCTGCTTATTAGTGGTTGTGGAGATACCCATTTTCTTTCCCCTTCTTTTCTTTTAAACTACAGATGTATCATGTATTTGTGATTGTGGTTTATTTAACCGATTTGAAAGCTAAGGACCAACTGCATTTGTGGATTCTGCAATTTCTTGTCGAAGGGTTCAGTCTATTTTGATACTCTGAATGCTATTGATTTCTGGGAAGGTAAAATGCATTGACAAGTCCACTATGGATGACAAAAATTGACCAAGTATGCATACTCCCAAACGTTGTTTGTACAACATAGATTGCCCATTATTATTATTATTGTTGTTGTTGGAGATATTCGTTTTCTTTCTCCTTTTCTTTTAAACTACAGATGTATCATGTATTTGTGATTGTGGTTTATTTAATGGATTTGAAAGCTAAGGACCAACTGCATTTGTGGATTCTGCAATTTCTTGTCAAAGGATTCAGTCTATTTTGATACTCTGAATGCTATTGATTTCTAGGAAGGTAAAATGCATTGACAAGTCCACTATGGATGACCAAAATTAACCAAGTATGCATACTTCCAAACGTTGTTTGTACAACATAGATTGCCCATTATTATTATTGTTTGATTTGCTTTAGTGGTTTGTCTTTGGTTTCTGCCGGTGTAAAGACAAGTGATTTTGGCTCTTGCTGCATTCGGTCCAGTGCTCTAGTGGTGGCCTTTGGGCCACTTCTTGCCCTTGTATTTTCTCTTATTTTTCAATAAACTATGTTGTTATTATTATTATTATTATATTACGATAAGTTTCAGGGTTCATGATATAAACGGAGAATGCTCATGACTGAAATATACAGCATTAATATATACGTTTCATTGGGACTGAGTTCATCTGGGGTTTTGATGGAAATGGTATACTTGTGCAGGATCCGAGGGAAACACATTCATGTAGACAAATCTGGGTAAAGATCAGTCTTCAAGTTTCAAACTAGTACTCACATACTGCTTTATATCAATCAACTTGTTTAAACACATAAAACTTGCATAAACCATGCTGCCTTTCTAACACCTGGTTGAACTATAGTACTATACAGATCTCACATGGTTAACTCTAATGACATGTTTGTCTTAAGGAGAAACAAGTTTAGAAATGACATAATCATTTGAGTTGTGGCATCTTTTTCAATGGACAATGACATGATTATTCTATTCATCCAAAAAACAAATCATGCATCTCCTTCAATCCTCATGAGAAGATTGGGGCTTAATCACAGTAGTAGGCTCTGTTTTGGGATCCCAGCAGGCATTTCAAGTTTAAGTCACTCATCCGATAAACATTCAGCTATCAGCCGATGTAACTATTCTGACTCGGCAGACCAAAGAACAAGAGGACGCGGGGCACACCTATCAAAATGGGTCATGTTTCTTTTGCAGTCAATCATTATATAATTGTAGAAAAGGGTTATCTTTGCAAATTGCAATACGAGTGATTCTCAACAATCCATGGAAATCGAGTACTTATTTTTGCTACACCCATTGCCTATTAATTTAGGCACTGATGCACTGTAATTCAGTTGGCCACTTGGCAATTGGCATCCCTCCATTTGAGCAGTCGGAGGCTCAAGCATGCAGGAAGACGGGTTTTCTGTGTAGTTATCAGTGAGCCCGCATCCGCATGTGTACCCTGTCACCACTAATCCACCCTGCCAAGTGGATCTAGCATATAATGTCCATTTGGGAGGGTTGAAGTCAAGGTTCTAAAAAGCTGAAGGCATAGTTGAGGTGTAATGGTCCAAAAAGGCGAGGCGTAAGCTTTAAGAATAAAATTTATAAATTGATAAAAATAGCATATAATATATCAATTTAGAATGACAGAGGATATAAAATATCCATAAAATAAAAATTTATAAATAATAAGTTTTAACAGTTAAGTATTAAATAAAATAATAGCGAATTAGCTGACAATTATAAAGCATTTTACGTTTCATGCCTTAAATGCAAAGTTTTCAAATAATTCAAATGACTAATTTAGAAGAAAGGAAACATATGAAGAATCATCATCTATATAAATGGCTATCAGATTTATTGTCATTCAATAATTTGGAAGAAAAAAATAATTTAGTTAATTTGATTTATGCAAAAACAAAAAGAAAAGAAAATAAATCCATTAGGAAAAGAAATGAGAAAAATAACAAACCTGGGATGTTAGATTTAAAATAATAAGAAAAATCACTTGATATATGCAAGAGAAAGTAAGAACTTCATTGGCCCCTTTTTCATTGAACTCTCCTAAAACACTACGAGAAACTAATAGAACTTGATTTTCCCTATTGGTTTTTCATTTTTACTTTTTATTTGTTTGGTTAATATTGAAGTGCTTCTTTGAGTTCTTTCATATATTTTGATCTATAAAAATGCATCAGCTTTTTGTTTTTTTTTTTGTTTTTGCATTAAATCACTAAATATCATCGATACTTGAGACTTGCATGTTTTTATGCCTCAAGCTATGCCTCACAGCTTAAGGCTTAAGGCTTACGCCTCATTCTGATGAAAGATGGGAGATTATGCCTTGAGACAAAATATGTAGGGTAAAATATAAAAACCTCCCCTGAAGTTTCTAACAATCATAAAAACCTCTCTTATAGTTTTACTTTAGCAAAAATCTCCCATAAACTTTTAAAGATCTTGACAAAACCTCCCTACTGTCATTGATTTAGACGAAAAACCAATAAAATTATGAAATTGCCCTTAAATTAATTGTTAGGGAGTCAATAAAATATTTCAAAATGTTAGAACTACCCCTTCTTTCCCTTCCTCTTGCAATAGAAGGGAACAATGTGAAATCCTTCCCCTGATTGCCCCTCACTAGTTCCCCTACTTCTCCCTCACTACCCCTTCTTCTTCTTCTTCTTCTTCTTCTTCTTCTTCTTCTCTCTCTCTCTCTCTCTCTCTCTCTCTCTCTCTTTTCCATCCCCACTCTTCCATTGAGTTGATTGAGTCAGAGCAATCGATGCACCTGGATTAACAGAAAACGATGAATAATTCAGGAGAAGAAAGAACTCAGAAGGATGGATTCATATACCCAAAATTGCCGATTGTGTTTCTAATAGAATGTATTGAAATTGAGGTGATTGATGGTCAAAATATACTATTTGCACAATTTCTTATGAAAACCAAGAGCAAGACAACCAATTTCAACTCAAAATTGGTAAAGGGTAAACTCAATAAACCTAGAAAGCAATAACAAGATTAGCTTGAAAGTTGAAACCCACAAGAGATGTAGAAAGGAAAGCAGAAAAACACACAAACAAATGGAGAAAAAAGATGACTCCCACTCAAACCAGAATCGAATTTAAGAAATTTTAGAAATTAGGGAAACAACAAACCGAATAACGAAAATCAAATCATACGTTGATTCATTCAACAAGGAGAGAGATTGGGATAAGGGATGAGCTCCCTCTACAATTGATCAAGTGGTTCTCGGAGGTACGATCTGTGTCGCTCAAGGGGAAACTGCATTTTGCTAATTTCAATCTCGTGTCGGAGGGGTGGGGAGGGTACGTGTACCCTTGGATCTCGTCCATGGCCGAAGCTTACTTGTGGTTAGAGGAGTTGATGTTGAAGTGCATGGTGGTAACTGATGAGGTGTTTGAACTGATCTCGCATTTGTTTAAGAATTTTAGTGTTTTGGTCCTCTCGTCTTGTAAGGGTTTCACTATTGATGGACTCACTACCATTGCTGCCAATTGCAAATTCTTTTTCGTTCACTACTCAGTTCTATTGCTTTGTGTTGGGTGGCAGCTTGGAATTGATTTTTAGTAGGTTTAGTTAAAACCTCAAGTTCTCATATGAGAATGAAAAAGCTTCAAGGAGGTCGCCATTAATAGTTGTTGAAGCTCTATTCACTACTACCATGAAGTAGATGAATAGTGCGTTTTGGTTGCTTTGACTCAATTAATTTGATGGAAGAAAGTGGAGACAGTGGGGGTGAAGAAGGCGA